GCTTCGTAGCATTGGCCCTGCAATGGAAGAATAATATATCTAAGCCCAAATAAAGCAGGAAATAATTTTTTTTTTGTTAGCATAGATAGGTTAGTAATAGATATTACAAGACTCGAAAAATCCGACGCGACAGTCGATACTAATCGATCAGTCGATGAAAGAGCCATAGTAGCCACTAATGGGCAGCTCTGATACAATCTTATGAATAAAATGACAAAACCGAAAAGTCTATTAAGAGACAGCACTACCTAATGATCTAGAACATTTCATCAGCTCGCCAAAACCACTTCTCTTGCAAAATAAAACAGAGACACAACTCAGACTAGGCCCATAAAATGGAAGAACCCAATGAAGCCACATAAAAGGATACAAACTTCAATCCCACCGGCTTCAAACACCAACTAGAACGACCGAATTGAAGCTAGGGCTGTCAATTTGGTTTGGCGGAATCCTAAATTGTTCCCAACCACCATTTCCCATGGCCCCTACTAAGATTTTTGTATCGGGACCGAGTTTCATCCTGTTTAGTGATTTTTTCTTTCTTTTTCTCCTTTTTGTTGAACATGATCACGATTGAACCCAAACACATATGTATCCTAACTTGAATACAAATCGTCGCCTTTGCCGACCATTTTATAGCCTATCGAAATACTATCGGCGGAATCCTAAGTTCCCCATCATCGTTTCCCAAGCCCGCTACCACAAATTTTGTATCTGGACCGAGTTTCATCCTCTTTAGTGTTTTATTATTGTTCGCTAGGTTTTCGTCTATGGCTTATTGCACAAATTATCGCCTTTGCCCACCATTTTGCAACCCATCTCGAAATACTGTCGGCGGAATCCTAAGTTGTTTCCCACCATCGTTTCCCAAGGCTGCTACCATGAGTTTTGTATCAGGACTGTGTTTCCTTCTCTTTAGTATTTTTTTTCTTTTTTGTTGAGCATGATCACAATTGAACCCAAATCCACGGGTATTTAACCTAATTCAATCCAGTCAAAGCGACTTGAAACCGACTTTAGCTTTTATAAATTTCTTTTTTCTTCTTCTTTTGGTTGGGAAGACAATTGAACCTGAATCTATGGTTTTGACGAGTGTTGTATTGTGAACGAGCTTTATCCATTTTTGTTGTTGGCAAGTAAGACCAAGTCATTACGGAAGCCTTACGTAAAGCTACTGATTTAACTGTTACGCAAGAAGTAATTGTCGTTACGTAACCTTTACGTAATGGAAGGTCTTTTACGTGATGAGTATTAACCTCGCGTTACGTAAAGTGTAAATCAATACAAAAGCTTTACATAACGCTTCCGATTTAACTGTTACGTAAGAAATAACTATCGTTTCGTAACCTTTACGCAATTAATTTGTATTTTACGTAAAAGTTGTAAAATGTCATTATGGAAGCCTTACGTAATGAAAGGTCTCTTTACGTAATGAGTATTAATGTCGTGTTACGTAAAGAGCTAAGTCATTACGGAAGCTTTACGTAACGCTTCCAATTTCACTGTTACGTAAGAAATAACTATCGTTTCTTAACCTTTACGTAATGTAAGGTCTTTTTACGTAATGAGTATTAACCTCACGATACGTAAAGTGCTATGTTATTACGCAGGCTTACGTAAAGCTTCTAATTTAATAAGAATTAAAATATGGAAAGGATAAAATAAGAAAATCAAATAAATGTGAAAAATGTTACGAGAATCTAGCCACTGTAATAATTGGTCCTCGTTCTGGGCTTGCGTATCTTTATTATTAGTATTTTATTGTTATTAGTATTCTTTATTGTTTCATTGTTATAGTAGGTTTGAGATTACCTTTTAGTACATTGTTTAAGGATTAGTAGTTGTTTTCTTGTGGTAGAAGTAGTCATGTTCTAGGTAGGAAAAGGTAGAGGCTTCTGTGCCTATAAATATGTACTAGTTCATTCATTTAATGGAATGAAGAAGATTGCAAACCAAATCTAGTTTATTTTCTTTCGTTTATCGCAATTTACCGCATTTTTTCGTATTTTTATGGCAAGGAAGTTACGAGACAAGAATTCTTCAATTTCGTGTCACGTAACAAAGAAGGAAAAAAAAAGAAATGTAACTTGCATTGGTGGTGACGGGAACCCCCTGTAGCCATTGATTTTTTTTACATTTTTTTATTTTTTATTTCTTTAATCAATTGTTTAAAATAAGTCTGATCGATTTTAACGGTTTAGATCTATACAAGTTACCTAGAAATTATATCCAAGTTACCGTAGGAGGTCTCACCAACATATTGTGTTTCCAAGGTCTTTCCCCGTTCCCCGATACATGCAGCTTTTTGTCTCAGGAAATATCCTCTGCTTTCGTTTTCTCTGGTTTCCAGTAATTTTGAGTTTGTGACGATCATCGGTTCTGATAATCAATCGAAAGACCAAAGGTAAGAGATAGCTTAACGGTAAGTTGCCACGACAGTGAAGGTTTGGGAGTTGCAAATCCCAGGTTCGAATCCAAACGAGGCCCGTTGGTGTTCCCGGAGGTACAAGGCTGATGGGGGCGAAGTCCCGTTGGCGTCGAAATTGATTGCAGGTGACCCTCAAATTTAGTAGGACTCTCTGTCACAAAGTGACACGTGGGGCTTAGATTCCTGGGTAATCCTAACACTAATAGAAAGAGGTTCTCCATGAGAAGGAGCTTAATTCAAAATATCCAGCCTTCTGAGTAAATTTAGGAAAGATAGTTTAGTCCATTTAACTATTAAAAACTCCAACATACTATGAAAATAATAGATTTTGTTGGATTTTTTAAACCAACTATTATATTGTTTAACTCATTCTCTTATTCTACAGTTGTACGTGTGATCTATATGTGGTTTACTTTTTTAATTCAATGTTATTTTATTATAAGAGTAAATGTTTGAGACCAATACGTATATGTGTAACTCTGCTATTTAACTAATTCTTAATAACTTAACTTAAATAAACAAACCAAATAATTTTCAATTATATTTTGGATTTGAGGGTTTTCAGAAAAAGATACAAAATCAAAGTTCAACGTTTTAAAGAAAATTGATAATGCCATAATGGTGAGGAGGTTTATGAATATAGTTATCAATGATTGTTTAATTAATGATTAGGTATTCCTCAATTTTTCTTTTAAGTATTGGTTTTTTTAGAGAGATAAAATATATATCACAATCTTCATCTAGAGATTCGAAGTTCAAAGTTTTAAACTAGCAGGTAGATAATTTCTTTCATAGGTTCTTTTTATGAGAAACAATAAAAAAAAATTATGAGATTATACCACCTTAGATCTAGGTTTGTGATGTATAGTTTTCTTTTACCATAACGGCAAAGCGACAACTCCGTTTGCTTTGTTTTTTCATAATTTGGATTAGTTTTGATCAAATATCAGTGAAAGAATTATATATTACGATGATAATTCTTATCAAAATTTCATTTGACAGTAACATATTATTTTGTTATGTTATAACTGCTTGAGTATTATTTTGAGGTCTTAAGTTAATTCATACAATTATTGAGTACTATATTTGTTGATTCTACGCCTCAAAAATATATTCACCTTGGAGGATAATCTTATCGACAAACAGTATTCCAGTGCAATCTTCAACAACCAAGTAAAAGAGACAGAATTTTGGTGCAAACCCTCCATTAGTTATAGCTGCCAAAAATCTTAAGAACTATAGTTAAGAGATTTTCAATTTCTCACAAATTTAGCGGACTATATCTCATTCATTTCAACTATGATTTTAAATGGGTTAGAAAAACCATATTAATTGAAACTTGGCAAAGAAAAGTTGAAGAAAACTATGATAAGCAATTATATAAGAATTATACAACAACATCAAAGACAATAGTAGTTAGGTAACAATCTACCTAACATATTAGTTGTGAGTTGTAGACAATATTTTTTTCATATAACTTTATTGTTCTATATCACGAGGAAGCTAGATTTTTTGCAATGTTTTTTTGAGAAACTACCCAAAGATAGTAACAAAATGAGAGAACCTTCACCTCCTCATATAATACAAACTGAGAGCATGAAGTTAACGTTTCATATCAAGCTCACCAATTACAACATCGCGAACTCCACAAGTGGGTACACAGTTTTGAAGATAATGAAGGGTAAAGAAGAGGAATATTAGAAAAAGTTCATGACATGTACTAGGTAAATTTAAGTTATTGAAAATAGACTTTTCATAATTCCAAAAAATTTGCAATTAAACTTTTGCATTAAGTGCAATGCAGGAGAAGAAGGAAGAGTACGCTAATAGTAGAGGTAGTGAATTCAGTGATGGAGATAATAACGTTATTGAGATAAAGAAAGAGATTATTGATGTTGGATATAGATATATATGTAATGGGAGGAAAGAGTGAAATTTAGAATATTTACTATTTGTATGAGGTAAAATTCTACCACCGTGAAAAGATGTTCCATATTTTCAAATATTTTACCATTAAAATTTGGTTTTCAATGAAATGCATGAGAAGAAGGAAAAAAATCCTAATTTTTTTTGAAGTAATTTCTAATAGCGAAGAGTAAATTGAAGTGCATTTTGACTATTAAGTTTTTGAGTGGAGAAGATGCATGAGTTGTGTTATTTACTTTTGATAAGAATTTTTGTCCATAAATGATCAACATGTTGTAAAACTCATAATGTATATTGTTTTGTGATAATTTTAGTAATTGAATAATTTAGGTTTTTTCATGATACCGAATAAATAATTCATATAATTATTATTATTATCATTTTATACTATTGATGTAATTCATCCGGCCAACGGGCCGGATCTGGTAAAAAAAAATGATAATCAATCGAAAGAGAGCGGAGGCGGGAACTTAGGAAGAAACAGAATTGTGTGTGGTCTACCCTCTACGATTCTATACGAATGGGCTCCGGCCTCCGGTATTCGCGATACAATTTGAGCCCAAGACCACTGCTAACCAGACTAGCAGTAATGGACTAGAAGACTACAAAAAGGCCCATATCTCTAATCTCCTCAAAGCCCAACACCCCCAACTTGGAGAACATCAGCCAGCGGAGTCGCGAAGAGGGAGATCATCAGAGCTCACCCGCTGCGCAAAAGCTCAGAGAGACATCATCGCGCTAGATTGACTCAAGGCAAGAGGACGAGATGGGGAGGAAGAAGGGCGTCGCCGAGTTCGAGGAATCGCCGCCGGATGACTTCGATCCGTCGAGTCCGTACAAGGACCCGGTGGCGATGCTGGAGATGAGGGAGCACATCGTGAGGGAGAAGTGGATCGCCATTGAGAAGGCCAAGATTCTGAGGGAGAGGCTCCGCTGGTGTTATCGCGTCGAAGGTGTCAACCACCACCAGAAATGCCGTCGCCTCGTCGACGAGTACCTCGAGTCCACCCGTGGCATCGGCTGGGGGAAGGACCATCGCCCTCATTCTTTTCACGGTTTTGCCACCACCTCCCTCTTTGTCCAATCTTGATTCTGAGATTCTCATGTTCTTCGGAGTAGTTTGTTTCTTTGAATTGAATACTTCAATTTTCCCTGTTTTCATTTGTGGATTAGGTCCCAAGGCCGAAGCCGTGGAGTCCGAGGAGTAAAGGATTGCTTCTTCTCAAGGTACCTCTTTGACCTTTGTATTCGAATTTCCCCTTCTCAATTCTGTCATTTCCCAGTTTTTTTCCGATGTTATGGATGAATGTTGTTTCTCTGGTCATAGAACTATTCAGAACTTGATTTCTGTGAGTATTAGTTGTTTTCTAATGATATGGATGACTATCATTAGCATAAAACTAACGGGGAAAGTGAGCTCCTTTTGCTTTTGTTTGGTGGAGCCATTCTTGTGTTTGTAGTTAGATTTCAAGTCTGAAATGTTTATTTGATGGCGAGAGTTTGGAAGCAAGTGTAAACTCAGGTGAAAACTAAGTAACTCGTCTTACCCTATGAATTGAATTATGCTCAGGTTCTCTTCTAAAATTCGATTCTCCATTTTAGCTCAATGAACATGTCCTGAAGAATTGTTAATGAACTTTAGGCTTATGATATCGATGTTGAGGTGATTGATATTTGGATGTGAATACTGATGGTCATCATCAAGTCTCCATGAGATACTTATGTATCAGGGTATTATGTTGGAATGTAAACCAGAGAGTGTAAAAGCAAATCATGACTAGCAAGGCAAGCCCTTAGTAGTGACTTATTGTTTTAGTGGTGGTGCGTCATACTGTTTGTTGTGTTCAATGTGTGGCTAAACTAGCCATGATTCATCATCTTGTCTGTATGGATGATTCTATTGATTGTGGGAAGTTCTTGGTTCCTTTCAGACTGATTCCGAGAGTTTATAATCGCTCAGAATTTTTGGTGGAAGGATAAGTGATTTTAAAATGATTGCTTAATTAGTCAATTGTGAAGACCAGTGTTAAAAGAATGCAATGAAATTTAGAAATCTGTATTGATGGTTGGGGAGGATAATAAAGCATCCATGTTGTAAAAATGTTCACCTAAGAACTGCTTGTGGATGATGAGGCTAGGCATCTGTTTAAAATGTGAAACATTGGGTGTTGCGGGTTCACTAATAGATAACTCTATACAGTTGAATTTTTCAACAAGAAAAGAGCCAGAAGTACTGGATATTCCATATGGGGGTTTTGTACCGTGAAACAGTAGATAATACCCTACACCTATTTGTATTTACCTTTTTAGTAAATTGAGCTCCTTCTTTGTTTGAAGACGAAGAAGTGAAGAAACAAAAAATCACCTCAGATTTTGGGTTCACATAGAATAATATAGGGCAGTGTTGTTCTGTATGATCCTGTAGATGTGGTAAGAATGGTGTCTGCACATTAGTGTTAACCCAGTTGCTCGTATGCACAGTAGTCCAAGCAAAGCGACCCGGTTGATTAAGATATACAATTTCATTACGCCTCCAACAAATGCAATTCCAAGCTCTATTGAGACAGAAAAGAAAGTGATTCCTCAATTATGGGTGTGGAGTCTCAAATCTGAATTAAAATTTGATTGTGCTAGGCAGCCTTCAAAAGAGGATAGGCTATGGGTCACTGAGCCCCATTATCAACGCCATGCTGTGTTGCATTGGCTAATAGATTTCCCCTGGTTATGCTTTGTGACCGAGAAAAAGATGCTTCTGTAGTTCTTCTTGTTGGCTTGTATTTGGTCACTTTTTTTAAAAAAATCCTGTCTTTTTTTCCCCTTCTCATTCTGATGTCTGCATGAGGGCTGCACAGCCTAGCTACTTACGGAAGATGCCTGATGATATAGTTAATGGTTACGATTATGGTTATTTGGTTAAACTTATCAATGCCGTAATAGATTGAAAACGTTGCCTTCAGTGGGAATCTTGGTAACTATTTGAATGGCATAATGCATGTGAAGTTTTGAACTATGGGAACTGAACTTGGTTCCAAAGCAGAGAAACTAAATCCGTGTTGATTTATTTCTGTTGCAGATGGGCCACAACGCTTAGAGATCAATGATGGGGACTGAAGCAGTGCAATCCCTTACTATTTTAAGTTTGATATATTGTTGTTAATGTTTTGCTTCTTTTGGACTTTGACTATATATCCGCAAACATTTCTCTTGGACCTTGATCTAGGCTGGGATTCTGTCATAAGCTGGATTACTAGCTACGCAGCTGTAAGGATGGAAATCACATCTTTTGTGTGGATAAACCTTCTTCATGAATGAATGTAGCTCAGATGAATGAACTTCTCAGTGATGACCGCTTGTCATGTTGGTGTTTACTCTAATCATGTTCTCTGCTAATTTGGGATGGTTGGGATTGCCCTCGTTGCCCGTGGAGGCGGGGATCTCAGTGATATCTAATGTATTGCAGCTGCTGCTGGAATTTATCACTGATGGAAATGTCTTTTGGGAAACTATTGTCAGCAGAATGATGGAGTTCTGGTTTGGTTTTCAATATTTTTTATATGGGTAAATGCCACATTTGATCATTGAGATTACTAAATTGTGTCATTTTTAGTCACTAGAGAAATTTAATATCAATTTTGGTCACTCGAATTACTGGAACAAGTCAGATTTAGTCACTTTCCCGTTAGGTTCCATCCAGCTCCATTAATGGGAGAGTGACTAAATGTGACATGTTTCAGCAATTCGAGTGACTAAATGTGACATGTTTAAGTAATTTGAGTGACTGGAGTTGGACGGAGGCTAACGGGAGAGTGACTAATTGTGAGTTTGTGACATGTTTCAGATATTCGAGTTATCAAAATTGATATTAAATTTTTCTAGTGACTAAACATGACACGATTTAGTAATCTTAGATATAATGTTGAAAGAACGTTACAGTTACAACCTAGTGTGCAAAGAACGAAAGGCAAAGTTAGGCCTGTCGGTTCGGTTCGGGTAACCGAACCCGAAAACCGCAAAAACCGAAAAATCGAAACCGGCTCCCACAAACCCGAAACCGAAACCGAGCCTTTGGTTTGCAGGTTGCGGGTTCAGAAACCCGAAAATAACACTGTTGGTTTGGGTTCGGGTGAACCCGAAACCGAACCGGTTTAATTTTTTTTTAATGCTTTTGTAATTTGAATTTTATATTTTTTTGTTTGTACAAACAATTTTATCCTTATTATTTGTACATTCTTAAACATAAAACATACTATTTTATTCTTATTAGTTAATTATTAAAATATTATTCTTATTGCTGCAATTTTCCCCCTCCATCCCATACGCCCCATATGGCCACATCCGGCCAAAAAAACCAGAAACCTTGATTTGCGTTCCTCTGTTCAGTACATCGCATCTCACCACTAATCCACCATTCAATTCCTCCCCTGCTCTCTCCCTCTCTCTTTATCTGCCTATATAAATTGGAGGAACACCGCAAATTGATAAGCAATTCACCGATCAAACCCACAAAAATGATGCGCATTGATAAAAACAGAGGAGTGGTGGTGCTGGTGGTGTTGGCGGCGGTGGTGGCCGGAGTGGACGGCCGGCGGCACAGGGGGATTTTGGTCGGGGCGAGGAGCGAGGTCAAAGACGTGAGGACCAACAGAGAAATTCAGGAGCTGGGTCGATTCTCGGTGGCAGAATTCAACTTCCAGCAGCAGAAGCAGAGTATTGTGAAGCAGAGTGGTGGTAGTGAAGAGGAACAGAAGACTGCGGCTGCTTCGTTTGGCGAAGACGAAAACAGAGGCTCTGTTACAGAGCTAGGGCAGCCTGAGGAAGACTCTCCTTCCCAAAAACGACAGCGTAAGTCCCGGTCTGGCCGAGTATCTACTTGCGGGTTTGCGGGTTGCGTTTCGGTTTTGCGGATTTCAGTAACCCGAAACCGACAATTGATATCGGGTTGGACCCGAAAAGAACCAAAACCGAGAATGAAAAAACCGGTTCGGGTTCGGGTTAACCCGAAAACCCGAAACCGGATTGACAGGCCTAGGCAAAGTTATGCGCCATTGGACCATATGCTCTTGATCCTTATTTTGCATGGGGTTAATTGTGACATAGCTAGACTAAGAGAGAGTCGAAAAAATGAGCCGAGTCGAATTTTGTCTTGTTTTAAATTTGGTTCGTTAATAAACAATTTAAGTTTGACCTCGGATAACTTATTAACGAGCTGAGTTCGACTAAGCTCGAGCTGACTCATTATAACCTTGGCTCTTCCTTAAAATTAGGAGTTCCACTCAAACTCAATTTTAAGATAATTTTAAATTTATTATGTCATATATGATACATCTGATTAACTGATCCCATAACATATATGAGACATATTTGCTTAAATACTCAAAGTCACATCATGAAGTGAGATATACAATTTAATAATCCTATGAAGCATCAACAAGGCAACTCATAAGACATAGATAGATTTTCTCATAAGCCGACACTCGAGTTGTCTTGCTAGTCACAATGTTGAGACATCTCATGAGCTCAAAACGAGTTAATTCACGAGTTGAGCTCAACAAACCACCTAATCGAGTTGGCTCACGAGGTGAACAAGGTATCAGTCAAGCTTGGCTCGTTAATAAATGAGTCGAGGTTTTTCTGAATCAAATGATTTTTTCCTCGAGTCGAATGTCAAACCATTCCTGAACAACTTGTCTCAATAGTAGCCCTAGGTAATGCTACCAATAGGAACGAGTTGCCAAATAGTAACTAGCTGGTGGTGAAAATTGATTTAAGGTCGACCTGACAAGTATGAGGTTACTAAGCCTTCTCAAAAGACAGTTGGCGACCACTATGCGCTGGTCCCAGACCTTGAGCAACAACCACCCTGGCCATCCGAATATTCACTCGCTTGCATCCTGTCGGATGGCCAAGTCGAGTTGACATGTGCTGGTGGCCACCTCCACCGTGTGCATGGCCACCATTTGAAGCTGTACCTAAAGAGCGACATGGATCCGCTCTTGAAGGCACCTTACCCTACTCCCCTCTGAGTATCCACCTGCTGCGTCTAGCTAAAGAAGTAAAAGAAAGATTTGTGAGGAGGCAACCCCGCCACGGTTTGCATTTTCTTTTCCTTCTTTTATGATTTTTTGTCTGTTGCATCAGTCTGTGCATTTTTCGAGATCTCATTTGGGATGAAAACCACCCCTAACAAACAGTGATCTAGTGGTTGTTTTTAATACCCTCTCTTGCCGCGACTGGTCCCATCTCTAGTTCTCCGCCTTGACTGTTTCACTCTATAGTCCTGATGCAGTATGTTCTTACTAGTAACATCATTCCCCTTATTTATAACCTGCTTAGTATACTTTGAATTGACAGTCTTTGTGGTAATATGCAACTTAGGGAGGTAGTTGTAGCCCTATAGAGGATGTATAAGATTTGTCCTATCTTTCTCTTTGTTGTGCCGGTTGATTGTGTGAATTAGTGAATTTAGAACTTTTGATTCAAGTGGTATCGATGATTCCCTTTTTGTTGTGTTATGGACTCATGTATCGTAAAAGGGTTCTCAGTGCGAATGAAAATCAGTTGGTCCTCCATGTCGAAAAATTGAAAATTTTAAACATGGGGTAAGCCCAAGCGGTAGGTAGCTAAGCCTGCTCAAAAGAAAGCTGGCGACCTCTATGAGTTGGTCCCAAACCCCGAGCCACGACCACCCTGGCCATCCGAGTATTCACTCGCTTACATCCTGCCGGATGGCTAGGTCGAGTTGACATGTGTTGGTGGCCACATCCGTCGTGTGCATGGCTACCATTTGAAGTTGTACCCCAAGAGAGATATGGATCCTCTCTTGGAGGCACCTTACCCTACTCCCCTCTAAGTATCCACCTGCTCCGTCTAGCTAAAGAAGTAAAAGAAAGCGCTTGTGGGGAGGCAACCCCGCCATGGTATACATTTTCTTTTCCTTCTTTTATGATTTTTGGTATGTTGCATCGGTCTGTGCGCTTTTCGAGATCTCAAATGGCATGACAGCCACCCCTAATAAACATGGTTCTGGTGGTTGTTTTTGAACCCTCTCTTGCAACGACTGGTCCCATCTTCAGTTCTCCGCCTTGACTGTTCCACTCTCCAGTGCTTATGCAGTATGTTCTTACCAGTAACATCGTTCCCCTTATTTCCCCCTCTTCTCCATTGAGGGCAATGTCGTGCTTAAGTATGTGGGTGGGTGGGGGTGGGGGGGTTATCTTTGACTGCATAGATGTGTTTATGTGCTTGGAGTCTAGTCCACAGTCCAAATTTTGATTTGAGGGCTCCAAGTATGTGTTCCTTGTAATAACCTACTCAGTATGCTTTCAATGGACAGTCTTTGTGGTAATATGCAACTTAGGGAGGTAGTTGTAGCCCTATGGAGGATGTCGAAGTATAAGTTTGTCCTGTCTTTCTCTTTGTCATGCCGGTTGATTGTGTGAACTAGTGGATTTAGTACATTTGATTCATGTGGTATTGTTGACTTCCTGTTTGTTGTGTTATGGACGCATGTATCGTAAAAGGGTGCTCAGTGCGAATAAAAAGTAGTTGGTCCTCCATGTGGAAAAATTGGAAATTTTAAACATGGGGTAAGCCCAACGTGTGTGGCACCATTCATTGCACAAAATCGGGTTTTGGCAGAGATTTTAGTGATCGTTAGTGGGGTAGGCCTATTGTCTCTAGTACAAGTAAAAATTCTACCCGTTGAATGGTTTGCCTACTCGAGGATGTATTTTTAAGGGAACAGATATAGCTTCTGACACCGCTTAATTTCATTGACCCTCCACATGAGTTAAGGGAAAGGAGTTAAAATAAGTAGTTTGGCGAGTCACAGATGTACAAAAATTGCTTTTGCTCAATCAATAAGGGTCGACCGCGCATAAAACTGCAGTTTGGAACCACAGAAAAGCGAGAATGAGAAAAACAAAAGAAAAAAGTACGAAAGGGGTTTCAACGACTGAAACAAAGTGAAAGAGCGCCTGATACAAAGAGTCATTGGTCGTTATGTGGGTGAGTCTCTTCATCCATGAATTGTCTATCCTTGTTCCACTGTTTCTCATGATCCTGGCTTGAGTCTAGTACACGCATTGAGAGAAATAGAGCATGTCTTAGAAAGCCGGTTGACCTCGTAAGTTGATAAATGATATAGGAAATCCTCTACCGACGATCCTGGTTGCATGTTGCTATAAAGGTCTGGAGAGTTGCATTTGTTTGAGTCAGGTTTGCTTGGGGACAAGCAAACACTTAAGTGTAGTGGGAATTTGATAATTCTGTATTTTATTATGTTTTCCCTTCTTTTCTTGACCGTTTGAGTCTGGTTTATCGCTCTCATGGCCTATTTTATGCTTGGGTGTGTAGGTTTATGATGTTTCAGGTCCTAGTGCATGAACGGGTTTGAAGGAGCGAGGTTCTGGACGTTTTGTAAAGAACTAGGTAGCAGACAGCTGAGAGTTACGACCAGACCCTCAAAGTTACAGTCTGGCCCATAACTTTCCATGATGGCCCGTAACTTCCCAAGGAAAGGAGAAGGATTCAGCAGCTATCTGAAGTTTACGGCCAGACCCTTCAAGTTACGGTCTAGGCCGTAACCTTCTCCCTTTGCCTGTAAC